AAAAAAAAAAAAAAAAAGACAAAAGGAATGATTGGCCTGGCAGTGTGTATTGGTGTGCTTTCCTGTACTACAGATAAAGGGTAGCATGACAGTGTCCCTCAGCAGAGTCAGAGTGGTGCAGCAGTCACGGTGGTTTTAACTTGCTTATGTGACGTTTTGAATTGCTGTAATACACATAGCCGCATATTTAACTTGTATATGTTTTGTTAAATTGCTTTGGAATTAAATCACCTGAACTCTTGAATTAGCATTCTGTCAGGTCAGACGTTGTATCTTCTGAATCTCCTGTTAACAGTCCTTGCTGTGAAATCTTCCAGAGGGTGATAGAGGGGTAAATCTGATGTTACCTCTGGATCACTTTCTCAAAGGAAAAAGAGTCAAAGGCAGAGGAAAGTCTTAGAGAATGATCAGAAATGAAAATTCTCAATTTATAATGTTACTTCAAAAGATAGCCTCTTTGGCAACTCATTTTTATTTTTATTCTTTTTTTTTTTTTTCCTTCTGGTACTGGGGGATTGAACCCAGGGCCTTCCCACTGAGCTACATCCCCAGCCCATTTTGTGTTTGGGGATAGGGTCTCAAACTTGCAGCCTTCCTGCCTCAGCCTCCTAGAGTGCTGGGATTACAGGCATGTGCCACCATGCCCAGCTGCAAGCTTTTAGATAGGAGTAAATATACATTGGACTTCCAGGTTATATGTTTTAGCTAAATAAATTCAGAGAGAAAAATTATAATTCTGAGGGTGTCTGATCAATAAAGACTTTTTAAAAGTGCTTTCTCTAGCTTCTTAAATTCCTAACCAAAATGTCAGGATTTAAATAGAGCTTTCTGAGCAGAATTTGGGAGAAAGGTTTTCTCTTTTTCTCTTAGGTTGTTCTGCTTTAGTAGGGGTCCATCACTGAGCTCTTATTTTAATTTCAGTGATGATAGTTGGGTTTTTAAAAGAATTATTTTTTAAATATCAAGTAGTTTAAGGAATAGAAATTAAAGGAAATAAGTGGGAAAAATTTTATGGGCAATCTTGTAGGCCCCTGAGTTCAGGAAATTAAGTTCAGAATGGCTTTACAAGGCTGATCTTAGCTAGCAAACTAAAGCTACTATTTTTTTTTTTTCCAGCAAGGTACTTTACACCATTTCCTCAGGGCTTTTTTCGGTGACTGCACCATTTTTATCCTGTTAAAAAAGACTCGTATTCTTGGTTTACTTGTATAGGACGCACAGGGTCAAAAATGACCATTTATGGTGGTATATGCCACATGATCTTTCAGAGTTTTGTTTTGTTTTGAGATAGAGTCTTGCTGTGTAATTCAGGCTGATCCTGAATTTACTGTGTAGTTCTGGCTAGCCTCAAACTTGCATCGATCCTCCTGCCTTAACCTACCAAGTGCTGGGATTGCAGGTGTGTGTCATCACGCCCAGCATCTTTCATTTCTAAGTGGCTGGCATCTTAGAGTTTTTGTGTGTTTTGGTTAAGGAAATCTGATGGCGTGGTCTAGCTAATGAATCCATGAATCACTTTCCCCAGTGAAGTATTACCTGGCTGGTCTAATGAAGGTTTCGTAGGTGGGGGTGTAATTTTTTACCACACTTAGCGTGTCAGCAGGGAGGTAATGACTGCCTTTATGACTGAATAATTAAAATGACTTTTTTCCTATTTAAATATTTGGGCCTTGTACTGTGCTATCTTATGACTGACTAGTATTTAATTTATGTTCAAGTTGATTCTTTCAACTGAACTCCTCCCAATGCTGTTAATAATTACTTACTACTAAATAATAGAATAAAGGATACAAGTAGTTACTTTTCAAAGACTTATAGGAATATTTTCTATATATTATATAAACTATAAAAACTTTCGGTTTAGGTTATAATTTTCTTGGAGTGCTGGGTCTTTAAAATGGTAATCCTTTTTAATTTTTAACTCATTTTTTACTTGTTTTGCCTAAGAAAAGCTATTTTCCAGAAGTGAGTTTTAAAAGATTTTTTAAAAATTTCAGCAAATAGACTACCTTTTTTTTTGGTCATACTAGGGCTTGAACCCAGGGCCTTCACACTGAGCTGCATCCGTAACTCCTTTAAGTTCTTTACTTGGAGACAGGGTTTTGCTGAGTTGCTGAAATGCCCAAGCTGGGCTTAAGTTTGCAGTCCTCTGCCTCAGGCTTTCCAGAGCACTCGGGTTACAGGTGAGTGCCACTATGCTTGGCACAAATAACTTCTCTGTCTTTTTGAGACAGGGTCTCACTATGCAGTTCAGGCTGGCCTTGAGCTCACTTTGTAGCCCAGGCTGGTCTCGAACTCACAGTGACCTCCTGCCTCAGCCTCCCCAGTGCTGGGATTACAGGCGTGTGCCAGCACGCCCAGCAACAAATTGCTTTTGATAACTGGAAAAATGTCTTGATATTCTAAATTAGGGAAAAAATAGATCTCTATAATAGGACCTAATAAAACGTCTTTTTTTTTTGCAGGGGGAGTGGGGATACTGGGAATTGAACTCAGGACCTTGCGATTGCCAGGCAGGCGCTTATGCCCCTGAGATATATTTCCAGCCCCTTAGGACATAATAAAACTAAAATCCCATTCTCTTTTTAATCTGCTTTGTTTGAGGTATGATTGACAAAGGAAATAGTTGTATATATTATTAATGTTGATAGTTTGGGATAGTCACCCATGAAACTAGCACTGCCATCAAGGCGTAATCATGTCTGTTACTTCCTAAAGTTTCCTCATGCTTCCTTAATTATTATAGTCATCCTCTGTATCCACCATAGATAGGTTCCATGGCTCCTGAGTATACCAAAATCTATGGATGGTTATATAAAATGATGGCATTTGCATGTAACCTATGCATATCTTCCTGTATACTTTAAATCATCTATGGATTGTAGCACTTCTGATATTTAAAAATGTAAATATATAAATAGTTGCTGTACTGTACTTAGGGCATAATGAAAAAGACAGTGTGTATATTTAGATACAGCCCCTTCCCAATATTTTTGATCTAGAGTTGGCTGAATGTATGAATGAGGAACCTATGGATCCTGAGGGCCAGCTGTTGAGTGTGTGTGTTTTGGGCTAAAAGCACTTAAAATCTATTGTCTTACCAATTTTAAGTTATAATAATGTTAGCTATAAGGCGTGTGTCATGTAATAGACACGTAGAATTTTTTTTATCTAGCGTAACTGAAACTTTTTACCCTTATATGTCACCTCCCCCAACTCTTCCCTTTTAAAGGCAGACTGCTGGTTTATATCGTTACGTAATTTCTAGAGATTCATCTTACCCTTAGGTTAATTTCTGTTAAACAGTGGAAATACTTTTCCTGCTGAGTGATAGAAAAGGGGTTCTGTTTTAGCTTATTTTAAAAGGCGATCTGTAATTGCTTTGTAGTTTAGTGTAGAGAAGTTGGCCATCATTTCCAGTCATTACTATCCTGTGTCATTCCTCTTCCCTCTGCTGCATCCAAGATTTTCTCTTTATCTGTTGTTTTTAACAGTCCTTGGTTTGATTTTCTGTGTGTCTAATCCTCTTTGGGTTTACCCTAAACTTCCTGAATCTGAGAATTGATACCTTTTATCACTGGAAAAATTTTGGCCCTTACTTCCTTGTCTGTGTGTCTCCTGCTCTGTTCTCCCTCTGCTCTTCGAAAACTTCTGCCACATGTACATTAGGCTGTTCGGTATTGTTCCAGGTATAGCTTAACAGTCCGTACCTTTTTGACTTTTGTGTTTGTTCAGTTAATTTCTTTTGACCTAAGTTCAAGTTCTTTTTCGTCTTTCCTCTGTTGAACTGAATCTTGTCTTCTGATTGGCATAGCTTGGTTTATGAGCCATTAACATTTTTCTTCTCTGATGCTTTTTTCTACCATTTCCATTTGTCCTTATGATTCCATCTCTGCTGTAATTCTCCGTGTGCGTACACGATGGTCTTTTCCATAAGATTTTAAAACACTTACTTTAGCGTTTGAAGCTCCATGTCTGATACGTAGGCTATCTTGGCTCTCCTTGGGTTTGGTGTAATGACTGGTTCCTCTTAGTCATGGGTCACATTTTCTTGACTCTTTGGCTGTCTTACAATTTTTTATTGAATGCCATTGCATATTTAAAGGCCGATTTTTAAAAAAAGTTTAATTTAGTTTTATTGTTAGGATGTAACATTTTTCTTATGACTTCACATCTTAGAGCATTTATATAATTTTGTGTTACCTAGGTTATGGTTTTAAAATAGTGAAAACAAAAGAATCGCATTTTCTACTTAAGTTTGGTCTAGACTTCCTTTTCAAAAACCTAGATCTGAATCCTTTTACAGTAAATCCTGAAGTAAATGTAATTTAGTTACATAATCTAGTCCCTTTTATTAGAAATTCTTCCCTCCTGAACCTCAGTCTGGAATTGTACAGTACCTATTTTCAGAAAAACAAGCGTGACCTAGGATCAAGCATATTAGCAATTTAGAAAGAAACAAAACAGAACAAAGTCTTCTCAGAATTTATTCCGAGCTGTGAAACATTCAGCTAAGTCTTTTCCACTGTGGGGGATGCAGAGTGATGCGCAGAACCTGGCTTTAGGTAATTCCCACTACCACAGACATCAGAGATCTGCTTTCTTTTTTGAATCTGAATTTAGGAAAGTAGGCTCAGACATTTAAGAAAGAACGTATAAGACCTTCAGTAATAACTAAATCTAAAAGACTTTTGGGGTGAGAGAAAATTGTTAAATTTCTTAGTTATATGGGCCATATGATTATTAATTTGTTTGAATTTGTTAAAAAATAAAATATATTGAGCAGGCAAAGAAATTGATATTTTTAGATAGGTATTCTGATATGGGTAAAAATGGATGATTTCTAGCCTAGTGTGGTGGCACATGCCTGTAAGCTATGTGGGAGGCTGAGGCAGGAGGATTTGGACTTTAGGGCCAACCTGGCTAACTCAAGGAGTATGTAGCTCAGAGGTAGAGTGTTTGCCTAGCATGTACAAAGTCCAGGTTTCTATCCTCAGTACAACAACAAAAAATAATTACTAAGGCCTAATTGGTTATATTTGGCAAAATGTTTTCTGTAATTCTCCCAGGATTATCATTAATAGTACTTATGGTGGTCTTCATTATTCAGAAAAGTTTCTTTTTGTTTCCGTGTCTTCTTTTTTTGTTGTTTGTTTTTGTTTTTCGTTTTTCTTCCAGTAGCAGGAATCGAACTCAAGACCTTGCGCTTGCCAGGCAGGTACTTTGCCACTGAGCTAAATCCCCAGCTCCTCCATGTCTTCTTTTGTTGTTTATTTTTGTTTTGGAGTACAGGGGATTTCATCCAGGGCTTTCAGCATGCTAGGCAAGTGCTCTACTAGGCAGTTCCATCCCTGGTTTTTTTAAATACTTTACCTCCTCCTCCGCCCAGTAGTCACACAATTATTCATTCCCTGTTAAAGGTTTTAAAGGACTAAGGCCCTTGGCATTTTCATTAGTACTTTTTTTTTTTTTAGACAGGGTCTCGCTATGCAGTTCAGACCGGCCTTGAGCTCACTTTGTAGCCCAGGCTGGTCTCGAACTCAATGATCCTCCTCCCTCAGCCTCCCGAGTGCTGGGATTACAGGCATGTGCCACCACGCCCGGCCATCATTAGTACTTTTTAAAGCAGGTCCCTGTATGTAATTGGTGGGAGTGAGGGGAAGCAGCCCATGTTTAAAGGTAGTCTCCCTGATCTTGTCTGTCCTTAATCCTAGATCTGCTTGTGTTTTTTTTTTTTTTTTTTTTGGTTTTTCTCCGGTACCGGGAACTGAACTCACGACCTTGCGCTTGCCAGGCAGGCGCTTTGCCGCTGAGCTAAATCCCCAGCCCCTGCTTGTGTTTATAGAATATGAATCTATTGATATAAATCACAATGCATAGCTTCCTCACTGAAAGTTGGGTGAAGAAACAACTCCTTTTTTTTTTTTTTTTGGTAATGGTACTTAGACAATTAGACACTGTACCACTGAGCTATATTTCCAGCCATTAAAATTCAATTTAGTTTTTTTTTTTTTTTTTAATTTTAGACACGTTCTCATATTTGCTCAGGCTGGCCTTGAACTTGTGATCTTCCTGCCTCAGCCTCCTAAGTAGCTCCTGGGTTCCAGGCATGCACCATTGTGCCTGATCAAAACACCCTTTTTGAAGAACAGTCTCATGTGGCTCCTGTACCTTTAGCATAGTACTGTTTACCCCTCCCCCTCTCCCAACTCCTACCACCAATGTACGGTAGAACTGTTCTTTTAAGAAAATACAGTTAGTATTATTGTGGTCAGATTTTCTCACATTAATATATCATGTCTGCTTGTGTTATTATAGATAGGATTTTTTCTAATATTTATATCACACAGATAACCCATTTCAAATGAATCTTCTTATTAAACAAAAAAACTTATTTTTTTAAAAATTTTTCTGAGGCAGGTTCTTGGTAGGTAGTTCAAGGTGGCCTTGAACTCATTGTGTAGCCCAGGCTGGCCTTGAAATTGCGGAACCCTCCTGCCTCAATCTCCAGAGTGCTGGGATTACAGTTGTGTGCCACTACACCCAGTGTTGAAAAAGTAAAATTTATTTTATCAGCTGTGTTTCATTGTGCACGATGGTTCTGCCAGTAAGTCAATTTTCTGGATTAGTCCAGAAAAGAAGTAGCCCAGTTTGGAGTATGCACTAGCCCGTAAGAGTGATACACAAGAGGCGGTCTCTTTTTCTGTGACACTAAAGTTTTGTTTTGTTCTTTTGTCTTTTTGAGACAGGGTCTCGCTATGCAGTTCAGGCTGGCCTTGAGCTCACTTTGTAGCCCAGGCTGGCCTCAAACTCAGTGATCCTCCTGCCTCAGCCTCCCGAGTGGTGGGATTATAGGCGTGCGCCACCACACCCCCCTTGTGACACTGAAGTTAATTATCTGTCCTGGTCTTTTTCTGTTGTTCAGTTGTGATAGGCAGCGAACCTCTGAAGGACTCAAGCAGTTTAGTTGTATATAGCTTATATTTTCTTGATAGTTCTGTTCAGATTCCTGTGCTCTTGTCTGGTTATCTCTTTCCCTTTTAATTGCTGTGCTGCTTAAATAGTTCTCCAGTGGAGGAGGGGCTCAGTGGTAGAGTTTGTGCTTAGTATATGTGAGGCTGTGGGTTTGATCCCCAACATGCTCCCTCCCAAACCTGAAGATTGTTCTAGAATGTGATTGTGTTCTTTAAAACCAAACCAAAACAAAACAAACTAGAGTAACTTTTACATTAAAAACTAAATCTAGAGAACTCCAAATAAGGAGGTTCCTTTGTGAGGAGCCTATTAGTAATTCAGTAGTGTCATCCACTGCCTGATACGTGCCTGGTATTGCTGTGTAGCTTTTGAGGTTACATCATTAATAAGGGAGCCTAGATGAACTTACTTGGCAGGTACCTGACGCTTCACTGAGCAAGACAGATAGTAAATATAATAAAAAGTCAGGTGTAGAGAATGACTGGAGGTGGTGAGTGTTAGGAGGAAAAGTCGGGTGGTGAGGTGTAAGTACTGTAGCAAGGGCAGGACAGTAATGTTGAGTAGGGTGGTCATGACGAGCCTCACTGACAAGGTAATGTGTGAACAAAGACCGGAAGGACGTGAAGGAGTGAGCCGGGTGAATAGCAGAGGGAAGGGCGTTTCGGAGAGGGAACAGCCAGAACGGAGGTCTCCACGTATGGTGACCCCGAATATGACCCCGAATACGAGGGCAGAGATTGTGGGCGGGGGGAGGCCTTTTAGGCTGTTGTGAATACTGTGACACTTAGACTAAGTAAAACTGAAAACAAATCCCAGTAAGACCAAGTAGAGTGAAGTTGAATTTCCTGAGATCTAGGTCAGGAGAAGGTAAGAGGTTGGAATAGGAACTTTTTGTAACTTGTAGTCTTAGGATAGCATAAATTAATGTGTGTCCATAGGCATAAGAATATAGCAAAACAAATAATAAAGTTCTCTGCTGATATTTTGTACTTTATTTTTGATTATAGGGACTTTCAGTTACCTTGACGATGTCCCATTTAAGATAGGAGACAAATTCAAAACACCAGCTAAAGTTGGTCTACCTATTGGCTTCTCCTTGCCTGATTGTTTGCAGGTTGTCAGAGAAGTACAGGTAAGTGGTGATTTTTAGTTAAAAGTTTAGTACGCTTAAAAATTAATAAGAATTTGATGTACAGTGAAATAGGAAAAGCTCTTTTATATCTCTTTTTTGTATTTCTCATAGCTCTTGTTACTGCCTGGACCACACTGTTACGTACGTACATACGTTCGTACATACAGACGCACGCACATGGCCACTTAATGTGTGTTTTATGCACTCAGATTTGTTTGATCTGTAGATTGTGTATTTCTGTATATCTCTCTGCCTTACACAAAACAAATGCCCACTGCCCGTCTAACTTGCTTGCTCACCTCTTTCCTTTTCCTTTATTAATGTTCTTACTATCTTCTCTGTCCCTAAAGTTAGATAATACTTTTCCTTTGCTATGTCTCATATTCTATTTCAGCCCTGCCTTATTTTTCACCTGGGCTATTGCAGTAGTTTCTTTAATTGACTCCTCTACTGGCAGCATTTTCCTTCTGTTTCCCACATTTGTTTCTCGAGTGATGTTCTTAAAATGGTGGATTGTCACATCCCCGCTCAGACTATTCAGACATGCTCGGTGAGTCATCAGTCCTTACTGCAGTAAGTATGGGTGTAGGGTGTTGGCGGAGCACCTTGGCGCCTCTCCTTCCTCTTCCCTCCAAACCGGATTACCAGTAGTTGGTTGAGTTTGTCTTGTACTTTACCCCATGAAGTATCTCTACCTAGAATGTGCTTTTGTTTCTCACTGTACTAACTAACAGCTGTCTGTTAAAATCTACTTACTCTTTTAGGTTGTGTTTAAATGCTATTTCCTCAAGGGCTTTCTTCTCAAGCCTCTCTTCTTTAAAAGTCAATTTATGTAAATGTACTGAATTTCTTCTTGAAAGCAGCAAATAGCTGTGTGTTTCTTCTTTCTTCAGTACACATTTATTGAATACCTGCTTTTGAGAGATGTTCTACTGGGTTCTGAGGATAAAGATATATGCCCTAATCATTGTCTTAACGTTGCTTATAGTTCGGACTGCCGTGGAAAACTGGAAAAGTACTCTATAGTACTCAGATATGTCTTCCTGTGACTTAAGAACTTGAGTTTTTAAAAATACAACTTTCTGGAAAAGAAGTCTTGTTTCTGGAAGATTCACTACAGCATTTCCATGTTACTTGGAAAAGTATTCTAGCCGGGCGTGGTGGCGCAGGCCTGTAATCCCAGCATTCGGGAGGCTGAGGCAGGAGGATTGTTGAAAGTTCGAGACCTGCCTGGGCTACAAAGTGAGCTCAAGGCCAGCCTGAACTGCATAGCGAGACCCTGTCTCAGAAAAAGAAAAAAAAGAAAAAAAAAGTATTCTGTCTTCCATAGTCTGTATCCTGTGAATAATCAGAGTGTAGAAATTCAGCGTTTTTTTTTTTTTTTTCTCCCCATTTGTTTTGTTTTGGGGCCTTGTGCATGTTAGGCAAGTGCTCTACCACTGAGTACTCTACCCTAGCCTGCAGTTACTGTTTACTGAGGGGAAAAAATACATATATTTGTATATGTATATATTTGTAAATGTATATAAATATATATGTATGTACAAATATATATGTATACATATATCTTTTGTTTTATGTGTATATTTTTAACAGTAGCAAAATTTCATTGAAGGTAGGAAAAGGAACAGTCTCCACGGAGCAAGACTGGGTCAAGTAAAAGTAGGAAGAGAAGTGCGCCCTACACCGTGAGAGCGGCCACCATGCAAGAGAAAACACAGTAGCCTAAAAATAGTCTTATTAATTTAGGATTCACATGACATGAAATTCCTCCTTTTAAGGTATACAGTTCGGTGGCTTTTAGTATATTCAAAGTTGTATAAACTCACTGTTATTAGTTCAGAACATCTTCATTTCCCTAAAAAGAAACCCAGTTATCTCCCTAGCGGTCACTCCCTCGCCCCTGCCCTCCAGCCCTTGGTGCCCACTCGTCTGCGTCCGTCTCTGCTGGGTATGCTGTACCTTGTAAATGAATCCAGCAGTATGTGTGCAGGGTTTGTGACTTGCTTGTTTCACCTAACGTAACAGTTTTTGGGTTTATCTGTTTATGCGTGAGGTAAAGTCTTACTTCATTTTTGTGGGCTGAATTTGAATGAATACCATGTTGTGTATATCCATCCATCAGTGGATAGGCCTTTTGGTAGTTTCTACTTTTTGATTACTATATTATGAATAATACTGCCGTGGACATGCTATGCAGGCTTTTGTTGTAATATGTTTTCAGTTCTTTTAGGTATGTGCATGGGAGTGGAATTACTGGGTCCTGTGGTAACTATGAGTTTAACAGTTTGAGGAACTGCCGGACTATACTCCACACTGGTTAGCAACACCACTTTGCATTCCCACCTGCCCTGCAAGACAGTCCAGTTTCTCTACATCCTTGCCAACTCTTGTTATTAATCATCTTCTCTGACTTTTCTGGTGCTGCGGATTAAACCTACGACCTTGTGCATACTAGACAAGTGCTCTACCAGTGAGCTACATTGTAGCCTTTACTTTGTCTTTTTCGGTACGAGGAATCGAACTCAGGACTTTGCGCTTACCAAGCAGGCGCTTGTGCCACTGAGCTATATCCCCGGCCCTACTTTGTGATTTTGATTTATTCACATCCTTGTGGTTGTGAAGTTGTTTCTCATTGTGGTTTTGATTTACAGTTCCCTAATGACTGATAATAATGAACAATTAGGTATTTTTTCTTTATATATGAATTGATACTCTTCTTGTGAATGGAGATTTCATTGGCCAGGAAAAATAGGGATTTACTTTATAAAGGTTTTCCTTGTTCTGCTTGCCTGGCAATTTTTTATTGGTAACAGTGAGTGGCCATTAAATTACATCTGTTTCTGTACAGTACTAGTAACAGTGTGACTTAAACACACACAGGGTCATATCTTGATCTCTAGCACCACAAAAAAAGTTAAAAAAAAAAATAACAAAACCAAAAGATCATTTTTATCTGGCTGTGGTTGCACACTCCTGTCCAAAGACCTGGTACTTTGGAGACTGAGGCAGGAGAATTGCATGAGCCTAGGCATTAAAAGCCAGCCTGGGAGACCCCCAGGGATACCTAGGACTTCACATGGTATCAGATTCTCTATATGAGTGCAGCAGTACTGTAACAGTCAGCTGATGCTGGAGTAATTACTAAGTGGCTGGAAGAAGGTGCCAGATTTCATCAAGATGCTCAGGTAGCACACAGCGTAAAACTAATAATTTGTTTATTTCTGTAGTTTCCCATTTAATATCTCTAGACTGTGGTGATTGCGGGCACCTGAAGCAGTGGGAAGAAAAGCTGTGTATTAAGGGCAGACTTTTGGAATGCAGTTATAGTGCTTGTGCTGCTTTCTCCATGAACACTCCACGGATGCTTGATGCTGTTGCTTATTACTGTACTCCCAAACTACATTATTCTGTTTACTTTAATATTTCTGCCTTTTTTCTCCCCAGTGTGGTTTTCTCAGGATTCCATGTATTCTGATTACTGCAGTAGAAACAGAAGCTCAGCTGGGCATGATGGCATATGCCTGTTAGCACAGCACTCTGGAAGGCTGAGGCAGGAACATCACACAAGTCAGCCTGGGTCAACTTAGTGACTTAGACCCTATCTCAAAAAAGGGGTGTGTGTGTGTGTGTGTGTGTGAGAGAGAGAGAGAGAGAGCTCAGGGTGGAATACCCTGTGTTCAGTCTCCACTGCCACACACACACAAAAAACCAAAAAACACAAAAGAAGGGAAAAGAAACAAAGGAAAACTCAGTAAAGATTCGCCAGAAAAGGAAAGAAATTTCCAGTTCCTTCAAGTAAAATTTCAGAGAATGTGTAGGCAGTGGTAAGCTGGTTACAGCAGTTCTTATTGGAGGTCACTGGTTGCAGAAGTGGGTTTCCCTCCGTTGGAGGCAGCAGTCTGCACCCGGTGCTGTTTCCGTACTGTTCTGTCAGTGGTGGAGTCACAGTGATCGCAGTGTGTCTTTTTAGGACACAGCGCCCGGCTCAGGGATTTAAATTACCTCGATGCATGCATTTCTGGGCTTCCGTGTGCTATTTGAAGCTAGAAGGCCTGAGGATGGCCAGAGGATGTTCTGGTTTTTCAGTAGGTTGCTTATCTCTAGACCTCTTTCTCCTGTTCTCCCTGGAGAACATGCACACAGACGTTGTTTACTTTAGAGCTACTGCCAAAGACGGTTGTCCTCCTGTCCTATGTGAGTTTTGCTTTATTTAGTAGTTGTATTTCTTTTAAATATGCTAATAAAAGATTTCCAAATTGAACTGTATTTAAGGTACTGTTAAGAAACCATAAAGAGAATACTTCAGTCTGTAGAAATCTTAATCTAAGTATATCTGTGTTTCTTTTCTTTTTTCTTTTTAATCCACCACGTAGCATACACACGTAGCCCCATGTCTAGACTTCCTACATTTTGAGTACAACCTATTCGTTATCCTCTTAATTGATGGTGGTTTAAGAGCATAGAATCCATAGGCAGACTGTCTGGGTTCAAAGCCAGGTTCTACCACGTAGCAGTTTTATGACCTTTGGCATAACTGCAGTCACTAAGGATAAAAATAATTACTTTTTTTTTTTTTTGGTCTTGAGACAGGATTTCACTATGTAGTTCAGGCTGACCTTGAACTCTTTGCAGTGATCCTCCTGCCTCAGCCTCCCAAGTGGCTGGGATTACCACACCCATCCAAAATAATTACTTTAAAGGCCTGAGAAAAATCTAAGGAGTTCATACATGAAAAAAGTGTGTACACCATTTATTATTATGTGTGACACCTTGTGTTTCTTAGCATTTTTAAATGTTAGAGCTTCTTGTTACATGGACGGGATGCATTTAGGACATAGTGCTAGATAGTAGAGATCCAAAGGTTTATAATGAGGTTGCTGCCCCCAAGAGGCTTGTGATACTGTTGGGAAAATGTTCGGGATTACATATTAAAGCTGTGGTCACATGTGCTTGGGATCAGATGACTAATTGAGACAAATGCTGTAAGATTATTTTTTCTGGTCTTTTTTGAGACAGGGTACTGCAGTGCAGTTCAGGCTGGCCTTGAACTTGTGATCCTCCCGAGTCAGCATCCTGAGTGCTGGGATTATAAGCATGCGCCACCATGCCCAGCCTGTAAAATTTTATTTTATAAAAAGTTTTTATTTTTTTTTTGAGACAAGGTCTCACTGTGTAATTCAGACTGGGCTTGAGCTCATTATATAGCCTTGGCTGGCATCTAACTCAGAGTGATCCTCCTGCCTCAGCCTCCTGAGTGCTGGCATTACAGGCGTGCACCACCATGCTGTAAGATTTTAGAAGAAAGCATGAGCCTAGAAGAACTTTATAGAGGAGGTGACTAAATTCTTCATGAGCCCCAAAGAATTCTAGGAAGGAAGACCCAAAGGGAGGGAGGCAAAGGAAGTGGGAAGGCTCATTTTGCCTAGTATATAGGATTAGAGGCCATAGAAACTGTCCAGTTAATCCCTAGGAGTAGTCTGGGAGCATAGATGACTCAGTCATATAAACACATTGGAAGCATCCGTCTTCCTGAGTGGGGTTTATCGCACATGCCGTAATTGCCGCCTGGACTACTTCTGTTTTGTAAGAGAGAGGAAGGGGTGGATTGGGTTGGGGAAGGGCAGCCACCTGGATTTACACCTCCATTCTCTGCTGTATGTTTGCAGTATGACTTCTCCTTGGAAAAGAAAACCATTGAGTGGGCTGAAGGTATTAAGAAAATCCAGGAAACCCAGCAGGAAGCAGAGCGCAAGGCTGAGGAAGCAGAAGTCAGAGTGAATTCTAAGAGTGGCCCAGAGGGTGACAGCAAAATGAGCTTCTCCAAGACTCACAGTACAGCCACGATGCCACCGCCTATTAACCCCATCCTCGCCAGCTTACAGCACGACAGCATCCTCACTCCGACGCGGGTCAGCAGCAGTGCCATGAAGCAGAAGGCTCTCAGCCCGCCCCACACGAAGGCAGATTTCAACCCTGCGGACTTCGAATGTGAGGAAGACCCATTTGACAAGCTGGAGTTAAAAACTATTGATGAGAAGGAGGAGCTGAGAAACATTCTGGCAGGAACCACTGGGCCCATCATGGCTCAGTTACTGGACAACAACTTGCCCAGAGGCAGCTCTGGGTCTGTGTTACAGGATGAGGAGGTCTTGGCGTCCTTGGAGCGGGCAGCCCTGGATTTCAAGCCTCTTCATAAACCCAATGGCTTTATAACTTTACCGCAGTTAGGCAACTGTGAAAAGATGTCGCTGTCTTCCAAAGTGTCCCTTCCTCCTATCCCTGCAGTAAGCAATATCAAATCTCTGTCCTTCCCCAAACTTGACTCTGATGACAGCAGTCAGAAGACAGTCAAGCTGGCGAGCACTTTCCATAGCACATCCTGCCTCCGCAGCGGCGCGTTCCGAAATTCCCTAAAGCCTTCTGCCCAAAGCAGTGCCAGCGAGATCAATGGGGACCATGCTCTTGGGCTTGCAGCTTTGAACTTGGATAGTGGCGCAGAGGTGCCCACTCTGACACCGTCCCACACGCCTTCCCTGTCTGTATTCTCTGTGTGCACAGAAGAGTCTTCACCTCCAAATGCAGGTCCCACAGTAAGTCCTAAGTTGTCCCCTGCCTAGCGCTTGCCTACCTCACAGTCTTCTTTTCAAGGCTTAGGGCAAAATGGGGCATGGTAAATGGACTTGGTTATCACTATATGTGATTCTGTTTACCTGAGGGCCAGGATTATTAGTTTTGAAACTAGCCTGGTTAATTTTCGTTTTGGTACCGGGAATCAAATTTAGGACCTCGTGCTTGCCAGGCAGGCACTGTGCAGCTGAGCTCTGTCCACAGTCCTGGTTAATTTTTGTTTTGTGGGTTTTTTTCCCTCATTGTTGGGGATTGAACTCAGGGTCTTCAACATCTAGGCAGGTGTTCTACCACTGCGCTACACTCCCAGCCTGAACTTGGTTAATGTTTATTCCTCCCGACTCTTTGGATCTTTTCCTTTACAGTGATGAGAAGTGATGAGTCTTGTAAATGGTGTTTCCCGCTTTGCTCTTTTCTGTGCTGTCATGCGTTGTATTTTTTTTATGGTTTTCTTTGTCCTTCTTAACGTTTTTGTTATTATTTCTCCTCCTATGTGTATGTATGTATACAGTACAGGGAGTGCTCAGCTACACCTCCAGTCGTAGGTTTATTGAGACAGGGTCTCGCTCTGTAGGTCAGACCGGCTTGCACTCACTGTATATCCCTGGCTGGTCTCCCTCTCACGGTGATCCACACACGCCACCATGTCCAGCTTTTTTTTTTTTTAATTCTTGGAGAGACCAATTTCAAATTCAGAACATTAGAAGCAACAATCAGGACAGCACGGTCAGCCTGAGATGTGCCTATACCTGTGTTTCTGATAAAGTCTCTGTGTCGTAGGACATCAGTGACAGTCACATAATATAGCTGGTCTCTAATTTCCTCAGGGCAGTATCAGTGGTGATAACACTCTCATATTCTACTTTCAGTTAGTCCAAAATTTTTTTTTTGGAGTAGGGGGTATACTGGGGATTGAACTCAGGGCTTCTGCTACATCTCTGTCCATATTTTTTATTACTTTGAGACAGGATCTTGCTCAGTTGCCCAGGCTGATACTGATGTCACATTCCACCTGCCCGAGCATCCCCAATAGCTGGATGGTAGGTGTGTACCACTGCCTAGCAACCTAGATTGCTTTCAAGGAGCTTTTCTCATCTCAGCAGCTCTTAAAATTTTCAGTGGTTCTTCTGTCTCCTTTTTGTTTGATTTTTGACACAGGGTTTTGCTATATAGTCCGGGATGGCCTTGAACTCACTAGTAGCCTAGGTCGGCCTCAAACTCACAGCATGCCTTCTGCCTCAGTCTGGAGTGCTGGGATTACAGGTGTGCACCACCATCGCCTGGTTCTTTTGTTAGTCCCTCCACATTTGTAGATGACATGGCGAGTAGTGGTGGACTTGGCCAAATGTGAGTGTACAATGACGACAGTTTTTTTTTTTTGAGACAAGGTCTCACTATAGAGATAAGTTCAGGTGGGCCTTAAACCTATTATGTAGCCCAGGCTGTGAGGCCTCCAACTCACAGTGATCCCCCTGCCTCAGCCTCCCGAGTACTAGGATTACAGGCCTGCACCACTGTGCCCCTCTGACAAAGTTCATACAAGTGTTTTTCTTCTCCATTTTGGCTTTGGTTTAGTGGTGGTTTTCTCAACACTTGTTCTGGTAGCAAATCCATTACAATAAAGGTAATGGTGTTTTTTAAAATGGTTTGTTTGTTTTTGCAGTACTAGGGATTGAACCCAGGGAGTGCTGACCTGCACCTACTGCCCTATTAAAATCTTACGTTATTATGAGACAGGTCCTGCCTCAGCCTCTTGAATAGCTAGGATTATAGGTGTGGGCCACCATGCCTGGCTTTCTTCTTTTTTAAAGTTGCACAGTACTCTTCATTATACTTTTTTCCAGCTTGCTTATTCCTGTCTTACTGTACCATGAGTATGGTTCATTTGGTCATAGCTTGGCGAGCTGGGTGTTACATTTCCTCCGGCTCAGTGCTTCCTTAGTAACTGGTAGATAATTTTTTTGAGAGTTGAATCATAAGGTGGAAATCTCATTTACCAGTCTCATGTACCAATCTTGTTTAAGAGTAGGAAAATTTATCGGGGAAAAGGAATGGGGACTAGGAAAAAGAATGAGGAATACGAATGGGGAATGGGAATGCCCTAGGAATAGCCCCTCTCAGGAGGGGTCCCAAATGGGTTGCCCCTTTTCTTAACCTTCTTTCACTAATAAGAACTGTGTGGCAGGGCGTGGTGGCGCACGCCTGTAATCCCAGCACTTGTGATGCTGAGGCAGGAGGATCGTAGCGAGCTCGAGGCCAACCTGGGCTACAAAGTGAGCTCAAGGGCAACCTGAACTACACAGCAAGACCCTGTCTCAAAAAGACTAAAAACAAGCAGACAAAACAACCCAACTATATGGTTTTCTTCAAAGGAAGGGAGGAGGGAAAGCTGTGTGTTCTTGGGAATGGAGATTTAATGTAGAAGGGTGAATTGATTAACTTGCAGGCAGTCTGATTGGCTTCAAAAAAATTGCAGATTCAGCGAGGTTCCTTTATTTGTGTGTATGTGTATATATATATTTTTATACAAATTTATTTGTATATATATATGTATATATATTTAAATAAGAGTCCCTCAACAGACCACTTAGAGAAAGGAGCACCGTTGTAGTGGTGCGATGTCCGCAGGAAGGCGGGACATGGCTGCTGTTACCCAGTAGGAGGACGAAGGCGTGGTCTGCTTTCCAGCCAGTGCCAGGGCCCGGCAGCGGCACCCTTGGGAGGGGCTGTGTGAGTGCTCCCATCGTCAGCTCCCGGGGCTGGACCTGGGCCTGGAGGAATGGGACGAATGCAGAGCATCAGTGTTATTTCCTTGGGGTGGGCTTCATCCTAATGTCTCCTGGTCAGTAGACGCTGTACGCCTTTTGTGACTCATTAAATGCTTTATGTAAAGGATACTTAGCCACCAACCCCGTTTAAACTTACGTTAAGCATTTGGAGACTAGTGCCAGTGAGCTACCAGCAGTTACTGCTCATCCAGAACACTTGGCGTTCTTTGACCAGGGTGACTGTAGTTTCTTTCTGGCCCATTTGTCTCAGCAGCAGAAGGGGCTTGCTTGCTGCTGGCCTGAGATGGTGCCACTCTGCACGTACAGGAATACACAGCTGGAGTTGCATTGTTCTAGGGGTCGAGGCCCCACGCCGAGCAAGCAGAGCTTGGTTTCCATTCTGGGCCTTTATGTGTGAGCCTCGAGGTCCCAGTGAGTACTTTTCTTTCTCAGGTAACAGTGCCGGAGGCAGGAGTGGTGGCGGTGACCTGGGCTGCGCACACCCACTCTCCCAGTCAAGTGTCCCTGGAGATGCGTTCTTGTTACTACTCTAGGTGCTGTGTTTTGGTCGGTCTCCATCTTTAGATTTTACTTTCATGCTTTACTGTTTGATAAAGCACGCCTAGAAGGGGAGAAATCCTTAGGGATCATCATGAGAGAGACAGTCCTGAATTTGTCTTTTGTGGCACTGGGGATTGCACCCAGGGCCTTTGCACCGAGCTACATCTCCAGGCCCTTCTTTATTTTTAGACAGGATTTTTGTTGAACTCTCTCTGCTGGGATTTGTGAAACAGAGCTGCTATTTTTCAGTGTCAGCCTTTTCTTGCTTTTGAGATAGGCTCTTGTTGTGCAGGCTGGTCTCAAATCCGGACTGAAAGCGACCCTCATACTCAGCCTCCCACGTGTTGGACTGCATTTCTCAGTAAGTGTGCTTATATTGCCTTTTTTCTAACGCTTCTAACTTTAGACAGTTTCATATTTCCTGTTACAGTGGTTGAGGTCTAAATCTTATAATTGCCCCCCCTTTCCCTTATCCTATATCATATATATATATACAAAGTTCAGGTGAATTAATATTCATGTTATGTTTGAGGTTAGTATACTGAGTTTAGAAAACACATTGTAATTACTTTCTGTCTCTCCTGTACTGCCTGTTTCTGGGATTCCCATAGTTTCTTTGTACCTGTTTTCTGCTCTCCTTTTTTTGTGGCACAAAGGATTGAAGCCAGGACTTTTGCACTGACCTGGATCCTCAGGCCTTCTTTTGAGTAGGGTCTTGCTAAGTTGCCCGGGCTCGATTCAAACTTGTGATCTGCCTTTTCTGATGGTATTGGGCCCTCCTGGGCCTTTCCAAATTGAGGGTTAACCCAGTTTTTAAATCCTGGAAAGTTTTTCTCTTTGGTATTTCTTTGATATTTTTCTCTGTTCTTTTATTAGATTTCCTAAACCTAGATGTTTGAATCTCCTTGACGGAGGGTGTCATTTTCTATCCTTTTCTGTTTTTCTGGTTTACCTCCTGCAGTGTATCCTTAATTTTTTGCTGCTCGTGGTGGAGGGGTAACTGAATTGAACCCAGGGCCTCGGGCATGCTAGGCAAGTGGTCTAACACTGAGCTGTTACTTGATTCTTACATTGTTTGTTTTTAAATCTTCATTATATTTTAAATTTCCAAGTCTGTTTCCTCCTACGGTTGGTGTCATTTGTTGGTGGATTTGGCTTTCTGTTCATGTTTAAGAACGAGGCACTAAAAACAAAAACATATGTGAGTTGGGAGTGTGCTGCTGATCATTAAGGGTCAGCAGAGGTTGAACACTGACTTGGAGGGAAACCCCCAGAACATCACCGCTGTCCTTGGGTGTCTGGTTCACATTTTCTAAAAACTGAGCTTTCTGTCTCTTGGAGAAGGGGTGGGGTAGGGAAGGTTTTGCCTGAGGATTTTAAGTGTTCTGATCATGGACTTTGTGCGTTCGTTTTATTCCTGTAGTTCCTAGTATTTCAGGGTCTGAGGCCTGCTTAGGGGTCCTGGGGGTTGGCAGGCTGATGCTCCTCTTTCCCACTTGCTTGTTTTATAACTACTCTTAGTACATGTTTGAGGTACATAAAGTTACATTCATCATGGGGTGTTGGTACAGGTGTATCACACATCTTAATACTTTCTTGCTTCTGCCAGTAACCATCCCTGCATGAGCTTTCCCCTTTCTAAGGTTTCATTGAAATCCATTGGCCCTTGTGTCCCCCATTTTTTCTTTGACCTTAAAGGTATATAATAATTTTAATTCTTATCATTTTACAAGAGAAGGTCAAGATGTTTGGTCAGTTCCCCATATTAAATGAAGCCCTCCTTTGAAAATCCTAATAGAGCTGGGTGCTCTGTTAATCCCAGCTGCTCAGGAGGATGAGGCAGGAGGATTTTGAATAAAAAAAAAAAAAATCCAAAAAAAAGACACTCCCCCTTATTCTGTAACTGATCAGCACGAATTCAGGGCGAAAGCCAGGCCCTGGAGATGCAGAAATGTTGGTGATCTGGTAACTCGTATCTAAGAGTGCGTGCTGTGCTGCTTGCTGCCAGTGTGACCAGAGTGGAACCGGAGCGCTGGCGGGAGCGCGCCTGCCTCCCGCAGGAGGTGCTTTGGTGTCACAGCAGGAGCAGGCATCGGGGAAGTCTTGGCAGGAGAGCTGGCTGTCTTGACTGAGGCTGGACGTGAAGGCTGCACAGAGAAAGGACTGCCACCTTCCGAAGCCCAGGATTTGCCCGGACACTCGAGGCTTCAAAACACTAATGCTTACATCCTCCCAAATCCTTCCCTCAAACACTTAAATGTGGACGGATAACTTGATAATTCTAATTTGGTTTGTTACTGAAGTGGGGATTGAACTCAGTACATTGCACATACTGAGCATGAACTCTACCCCTGGGCTGTTACACTCCCAGCCCCACTAAGTGTCACTTTAAGTGACTGTCATGGCTCTTCATTATTTACCTAATGCCTTATGTGGGCTATGTCCCCAGTATTTATTACACTGTGATATTTGTATACATAGATTTTAGTTTGCATTTTCCCCAGAAGTGCACAACTACATAGAACAATCTGAGTATCATTCATACTTTACCCATGCCAGATTTACCTACAGTATCAGATAAACACTTCTCCCACCAGAATATTTGAGAATTTTTATTTGTTTTGTTTTTTGATCTTTTTGAGACAGGGTCTCACCATGCAGTTCAGGCTAGCATTGAGCTTACTTTGTATCCCAGGCTGGCCTTGAACTCACAGCGATCCTCCTGCCTCAGCCTCCCGAGTGCTGGGATTACAGGCGTGTGCCACCATCACCAGCCTTATTTGAGAAATTCTTAAAAATTTTTTTTTTAGACCCAGTTTGCTATGTGTTTCAGGCTGGGCTTGAACTCACAGTAGCTTTCCTGCCTCAGCCGCCAGAGTGTTGAGATGACAGATGTGCATTACCATGCCAGTTTAACCCTTACAGCGCCTGGTATTTTGTGGGAGGTCTCCCATCCCAGTACTGTATTTACCAGCCCCAGCGCTGCGTAGACTCCAGAATCAGGCATGTTCAGGGTGATATGGCCACGGCTTCCCGGGTGGGAACTTTAAGCATGTAGTTTTTATAACATATGTCCACGTCCCACTAGGCTTTCAAGAGGCATTATGACAAAGGCAGGGATTTGGAGAATAGTCCCACTCCTTCCTGGGTGGGCTTATCCTTTCAGAGGTGACATTTCTCTTTGGATGTTGGTATTCTCTGGGTGGGTGGCTGTACTGCGGATTCAATCCAGGGGGTGCTACATCCTCAGCCCTTTATCTCTATTTGGTACCAGGAATCAAACTCACAACCTTATATTTGCCAGGCAGGGTCTGTGCCGCTGAGGGGTGTGGGGTGTGTGGTGTGTGTGTGTGTCTCCGGTCCCCTCCCCCTGCTCTTTTTGAGACAGGGTCTCACCAAGTTGCCCAGGCTGGGCTAAAGAGTTCTCTTGTCTCAGCTAACCACCACACCCAGCTGGGTGTTGGTATTCGTGACCAGGCAGAGCTTGGCCCTGAGGACACAGCGCTAGGGGTCAGGGGCCGGGCTGCCTGTCCGCCATCCACCCAGTGACCTTTGGACAGTCTCATGACTCAGTTGCTGCGCATGTTGTGGATGAAACGGTCAAGTAGAAACAGTGGGCTGGAAGGCCTGTGGTCTTCATGGCTTCCCCCAGGACAGTTTGAGAGGACCAGTTGGTTACAGCAGTGTCATTTGAGGGCTCCCTACTGTCTAAAGCACCCCAAATTTTAAAAAAGAAATGAAGCATTTCTTTGGTTCTTGGGAGCCAAACTAAACTCTAGAGGATTGTGACTTAGTTCCCATGGTGGATGGGTCCTTTGGCTTGGGAATGAACTTCCTTTTTGCCTTGGGGCTTACACTAGTCAGCAGCAGACTGACGGCCCTCGGAACCCACGTTCCAGCCCTGGGGCCTGCTGTGGCTCCTGCGACCTCGTCCTGGCTCTGTAGGACAGCAGCTCTAGCAGGCAGTGAAGGACGTGTAGGGTGTGGGGCAAAGGTGAGAACCCTCTCAAAACCCTGGTCTGGCCGTGCCCGGAGCAGTACTTGCAGCCTTTGCCCAGTGATGGGGACTCCGACCAGAGTCAGCCCTGCAGTGGGAGTACTTCACTGAATGAGCCCTTCAGGACTCCGATACGTGGCCTAGAAAGGGACAGTGAATGGAGCCCAGCAAAGAAGTCACTGCCCGCGTAAGCACGGGCTGGCTGTTTGTCGCCCCACAGCTTCTCCAGACCAGGGGGTTCGGGCACGGAAGGGCACGTGGTGGTGCGTGCATTGTTTCTGCAAGGCGGGAGGAAACGGCTCCCTCCCTTGGCTGGTACCCTCCAGCTCGTACCTCTTGTCTGTCTGACCAGCAGCCTGGCTCTTTCTCCCAAGCGGACTGGTGACTGCGAGGTTGACGTGGGAAGCGCTTGGCTCAGGCCACCTGAGGGCCATGTTTTCTGCAGCCCCGGTCGTCTTTCTGGACGTGATCCTCTTGTTTCTCTACCACCAGGTCTCCCCTCCGAATTTCTCAATGTCACAAGTGCCCAGCGTACCGAGCTGTCCCCAGGCCCATTCTGAACTGCAGACACTGTCCCCCAGTGAGCGGCAGTGCGTGGAGACGGTGGTCAACATGGGCTATTCATATGAGTGTGTCCTGAGGGCCATGAAGAAGAAAGGGGAGAATATCGAGCAGGTGAGTGGTCGTCTGCAGGGGTAGGTGGGGAGCCAGGAGAGCACCTGACCTCTGGAGCTGCAGTGGCGACTTGCTTCCTTCCCTGGTTGGTGAGGACTCAGGTACCTTACCAGGGAGACCAGTAACTTCGCCGCAGCACCTCTCTGGGGTCTGCTTTGGGACCTGGGCTGAGGGAAGGCCCGGAGCAGTGATGGCAAACCTTTGAGCTTCCGGTGAGAACAGCGGCTGTGCTGTGTGCCATGGGCCGGCCACCACTGGCCTAGAGCGTAGTGGAGCCGTTAGACTGCCATCCAGCTAACCCCTTCCTCCTTTGCCCTTACAGAAGCCAAAACTAGGCCTAGAGATGTTCGCCTTGTCAAGGCTTTCCAGGGAGTCCCGCCCTTGGGGGCATTGTCTTTACCTGCACTGTTGCTTAGTGCCCCATCCTGCCAGGCGGTGGGGCTGACACTGTGGGAGTCGTGAGTCACTCTGGCAGCGGCCCTTTGGCAGGGCGTGCCTGCCTGTGAGCACGTAGCCACTGGGGCTGTCCTGTGCCGGGCACGGTTGCGGGTACAAAGGCAGGTCCTGATCAGGAGGCGCTGGCCCGGGTTGGGCGGGGAGCAGCGGTCACACTAACTGGTTAAAGGCTCTGGGAAGCACAGAGGTGTGGCAGTAGGTGTTTCCTTCTCTCTTCTCTTAGATTCTTGACTATCTCTTTGCACATGGACAGCTTTGTGAGAAGGGTTTCGACCCCCTTTTAGTGGAAGAGGCTCTGGAAATGCACCAGTGTTCAGAAGAAAAGGTGAGAACCCTGCTTCTTGGGAGTCCTCTAGAAAACATAAAGTAGTCCTGGTTTTCATGCCTCACAACCCGCTGACCTTGCCAGTGACTGCAGGCAGAAGCATTTGAAATGCAGAGTCTCCCAGCTGTCCAGCAGATTGAGGCCTATGTTTGGCTTGGATGAAGCATTGGGTTAAAGATTATCTAGAACATCGGGGAAGGGAATATTGACTGGGGAAAAAGCCAAATTTCTGGTTGACTTGGGCCATTGCTAGTGTCTGCCGACCTTACTTCCCAGAAAATAGCCACTTAAAGGTTCATTATTTTGCCTTGGTGGGAGGATAGCTGCGGCTAGCGGGCCCCCGACAGGTCAGCAAGAATGGGTTGCGGGCCGGCACAGCTACTGAAGGAGCTGTGCGCGTTCAGCTGTGTTGTGTAGCTAGACCCTTCATTTGTATTTTCATGTGTCCTTTAGATGATGGAGTTTCTTCAGTTAATGAGCAAATTTAAGGAAATGGGCTTTGAACTGAAAGACATTAAGGAAGCCTTGCTATTACACAACAATGACCAGGACAATGCTTTGGAAGACCTCATGGCCCGGGCTGGAGCCAGCTGAGACCAGGCCCTGCCTCGGCCGTGCCACGGAACCACCCCGCCCAGGAGGCCCCGGAGAGCGCACCTGTGGGGGGGGGAAGGGGCACGCTTCTGGGTTTTCTTTTGGGGGTCAGGTCAGGTGTGGAGACTGTGCTTGCCAGTCTCTGTGAGCCTCGGTCGTGAGCTGGAGAGAAAGTGGGGAAGATTGGGGCGTGTGCGTGCCCTGGACCTGCCCTGGCTCCTTCCATATTAAATTTATTTGTATTTTGAGAAGTGTCCTTCCCACCTTGGCCCTCTGCATAGCCAGCCTCGGTCTTTCTGGGGTCTCTGCGTCCTCAGCAGAGACCCCAGAACCTGGCTCGGCTGCCAAGAGGGGCGGGGAGAAAGGGGGGGCCAAATAGTGCTGCTTGGGGCTAGAAGCTGCCCCTCCCGCCTGCACTGGTGGACTTAAATCCAAGTGCAAGTGAGAGGTTCTTCCAGGGTTTTCGTTCATCCCGCCTTTGAACAGTCTTAGTGTTACACTGGTCCGGCAACGCCGGTGAGGCCGAGAACGCACTTTCCCCGCGGGGCTGGGTCTGCCGCCTCTGCCAGGCGGTCCCATGCTCTCTTGTCCAGCCTGTTTCCTTCGGCGTGGCTGTGACCGCGGTCGTCCGCTGCCAGGGCTTCAGAGCCGTGCTTTGCGAAACCATTGCCAGTTAGGGTAATCACGGGCCCCTTCCCCGCACAAGTGACTGGGTGAGAAAGCGGACCACGGCTCAGCCAGCCAGCACTAACCCCCACGGCTCTGAGTCTCCTCCAGCCCTGCTTTAGGACGACACAACACGAGTAACGCGCCTAGGCATAGAAACCAGTTTCTTTGTTTTATATTATGTTGTATATCATTAAAGATCTAAATACATAGGATATACAGTCTTCATGAATCTAAAATAATTTGCTAACTATTTTGATTCTTCAGAGAGAACTAATAAAAATCTAAAAGTTACATCCTGCTGTGGTATCTTCTTTATTGTCAAGAGGTGTTTATTTTACTGAGGTCAGTGAATGGGAATGTGGTTTCCCGGAGTTAGAGCAGGGCCTATCCATTTTCTGTCATTTCAGTATGTATTTCCAATTCTGGGCCTGTGGGACCCAAGAGCTAGCTGGCCCTCTAGTCTGCTCAGGCTCTTTGGTTTGCAGAGGCAGGCCCAAACCAGGATCTGTTTAAACGCCACCTAGTTCTGATGTCTGCAGGCCAACCGTGGCGGTAGGATGGGCTGGGTCCTCAGCAGAGTCAAGCAGGGAGTGAGAAAAGTCTTCTTTCCCGTGAGCAGCAGCAGGCTTATATTTTCCCTGTGCCGTGGGCAGGACTGGGTTTAAGGTACTTCCCCAGCTTGCAGTGGTGCTGCTGAACTGGACAGAATGCATTCCTGAGATTCCCGCCCTAACACTACCTCGTTAGCCCTGGGGCTTTTTGCCTGGGCGGGGGTCTCCTGTTAGTGACCACGCGCAGAGGGGTGCAGGGCCTGAAGATGGAAGCACGGTGCCCTCTGCTGGTCAGGGTGAGCACCATCGAGACGGTGGCTGCTTCAGTCTGGAGAACCATTTATCCCTTCTCCATTAAACTCCTTAAAACCGGTAAGTTGTTGGCCTGAAAGAAACAAATCTTCACACGATAATGGGCCTCAAGGCCTGATACAGGAAGCTCAGGGCGATGCAGGCAGCCTCTGAAAGTGATGGGCACTTGTTAGCCACCTGTTTCCTTACGCTTTCTGCTAAAAACATCTAGTTGAAGGCATCTGTGTGGTTCGGGCACTCAGGCTGAGACACGGAACACAGGCCCTTGAGAGTGGGACGGTGGCCAGCGAGGGTGTTCTGGGAGACGATGAGCCCAGGACGTCGACTTGCCTGACATCCCGTGGCGTTAGTTACTCCATAAGGGCTGTGGGAAGTGTGGAGCCCGAAAGCAGCCCGGCAGTCTGCCACTTCAGCAGGAGACGGCACAAGAAAAATGCGTGACGTGAGCGCCCTCTTCTGTCTCAAAGCTGCACTGCAGCAAGGGAGGGCAGCATAAAGCCTGCCCCACACCTGCTGTTAAGGACACATAAGTCGGTTAAATTTTCAGAAATGAGATTCTAAGGGCTGATAGGGCACTGCTCAATCTACTGCTGCCCTGCTAGCACCAGTGTTTTATTTTGGGGCCAGTGTGTCCTGAATTATCCCAGTACAGATAATTTAGCCCCTGAATTGAGCCTATTGTCTTCCTCAGCTTGTGACTAAATTTTTTTGTTTTTTGAGACAGGGTTTCACCATGTAGTTCAGGAACACCTTGAACTCACCATGTAGCCCACGCTGGCCTCAAACTTGTGGCGATCCTCCTGCCTCAGCCTCCCGAGTGCTGGGATCACAGGCGTGCGCCACCACACCCGGCTCTGACTTCTGACCTGTAGGTTACCATCTTGTTCTCTAATTCTCAAAATAAGGATGTGTATGAGTTCTTAGCCCCAGATGTGTTCCCACGTGGGATCAGTAAAGCAGATGCTCTCTGACCCCCAAACAGAAGGACGGGCAGTACGGTCCTCAGCTTGGCCCATCCTTTCTTACAGAAGCTCCCAAGCTTTGCACTGAGGGGGGATGGAGGGCCCTAGGGAGCGGGTTCTGGTGTGTGCGGGGAAGACCTGGCACAAGGCTCGCTAAGCCCGAGAGCCCTGCGCAGGCCCCTCCTGTACCGCCCCCACCGTCTGCGGGAAGACCTTACTCTGACAGCGCTCCTCTCAGGGCCTCTGGTAGGTGAGGTACAGCTGCAGCTGGCTCCTCAGACTCTGGATGCACTTGGATTTCAGAGCCATGATTTCATCCAGCTGGGTGACGAACTCTTCAAACTCCTGAGAGGGAACGCAGGCCAGGTGGGACTCTCCCTGGCCCTCTGCCAGATCGGCTTTGCCAGTCCCTCCACTTTAAAGTTTCAGAACCCAGGACCCGCCGCCCGCCGGGAAACCCAGCTGCTTGGGTACTGGGTAGGGCCCACCTCGCTGCCTTTAGGACACTTTACAGGTAGAGAATATTTAGGTGGAAAAGCCTCTGGTCTCATCCCCTGGCAAGCAAGCTGGTTGTCACAGTCACAGGGAGGGGCCCCAGCAAGTCACGGGAAGACAGGGCGGTAAGTCCAGGCTGGAACTTCGCAGCCTGGGGCTGGCAGTGGAGCACCATCTCCCAGCGGTACCCGGACCCTCTCGCGCGGTCACACGGCCTTAGTGTGCGCCACGGCAGAAGCTCACCGACACTACGTCGCACACGGATGGCCAGCAAACCACCCACAGGCTAATTCCCAGCAGCCCGAGTCCGGTCAAGGCTACTTACGTTAGAAACCAGCTGGCTCACCAGAGTCTCTTCCTTGAAGCCCAGCTCAGCCATCTCATCCAGCTGCTCCCGGTGTGCGTGGATGACCGCCTGCCTGCGAACACCGGAGAGGAGACCGTGACGCTCCTCCGGCACAGCCTCCCGAAGCCGAGACCTGGTTCCAGCCTGGGAGCTGCCTCTGCCCGAAGTGGCCAAGGGTTTGCCCAGGGTTGGCTCACCACCCCGTTCTTTGCTTGGGACTAGTCAAGCGACACAGGAGGAGGCAGGGCCTTCCCAGCTGTCCCTGCTGCAGCTATGGTGAGGGACAGGGCTGAACGTTCCTCCGCCACGGGAACTGCCGTTCCCCACAGCTGACCCTGAGGAAAGGTGTCAAGGCTGTGACTGCTGCAGACACGAGGCCTGCCTCATTTCTACTTCCTGTGCAGGTTCCAGGACCACAGCAGGGGACGAGCTAGAAGCCGAAGGACCTGCCTTGTCACACTGCGGTGATGGACACACACAGTGGAGCGGGGAGCCCATCCACCCGGGGAGGCAAGCTGCTCACCCGGCACTGCTGCCCGGCCTTCTTTATGACAAAATACCCAGCTGGGGGAGTGGGGATGCTAAAGGGGCCACCGTTTTCACTTTGTATGAGGCGAGGTTTGGCAAACTGCCCAGGTTGGGCTTGAACTTGGAGACCGTCTGGCGCCAGCCTCCAAGAGTGATGGGATGGCAGGTGTGCACCGCCATGGCCGGCCGTGCAGCGCGCGTCTTAGGGAGGAAGTCCCACTTACTGTGCTTGCTGCAGGGCGGGCTGACACAGTGTCCCCGCAGTCCTGGGGGAGTAGCCGGGAACCAGGGCAGAGTCTGGCGATACTAAGCACCTGGAGCGTGGCCTGCGCTTGAGCCACATGACGTCTTCACCGTCGCAAGACAACCTCATGGGGTCTGTGGGTAAACCGAGCTCCCGCCAACAGAGCCCCCCAGGATATGTCCTGTCCTGGCCCCAGGGCTCGTCAGCCGCGTCACAACTTCCTGCTGGCAGGGCAACTGCAGATCCAGAGTGGCATGGCCCAGTTCGTGGGGCGGAGGAGGGCTCCCCAGGGGCGCCCCAGCAGCCATCCAGCCCCGGCTCGTCAGCATCGGCATCACACTGCTCCGCGCCCACAAGCTCCGGGGAGAGGAGCACAGGCTCCCTGCTCGGGCAGGCCCGTCTCTGCTCGGCCTCCCTACCGGGCAGCTTGTCAGGTGGATGACAACGGATGGGGGACGGGGACAAAGCGGGAAGAGCGCCGCCTGGCCTGTCGTCAGGGGGAGACGAAGAGAGCCACAGGGGCCCGGCCCGCGAGGCTGCCTCGTGGCGGCCAGGTGACGCCGTGTGGCCCGCAGCCGGCGCCCCCGTGCCCTCCACCCCTGGGCTGCGCACGGCCCCGTCCCGGGTGGGCTGCTCCAGAGACCGGCTGTCCCCGTCCGGAGTCGCGAGCAGGGATACGGTGAGGGGAGCCATGTGTCCGGAAGCACACTCGGAGCAGGTGCTGGACTGCCCGCTGGAGCCTTCTCCTTGGACAGGGTTATTCTCTGCTGCGGTTCTGGTCACCTGGCTTGGGCTCTTTTCGCCGACTTCTCTCAGTTGTGCGGTACCTGTGTCTCCCTGGTCTGCGGACCCAGGAACTACAATGTGGGATAAAGAGGAACCATCTTCCAGGGATGGCAAGCTGCCCTCAGGCTCCCCAGGAACCTCACTTCCGGAGGCGTCCTGTCTGAGGTCCGCAGCTGGACCACTTCTTTTCTGGGCGTACACAAGATCGGGCCGTGCGCAGGAAGGCGGCTCTGAGGCGGCGCCGTTCTCCTCCCGGCTCCAGTCCAGGCGCAGCTTACCCGGGCTGTGGCGATGACTGAACGCTGGTCTCCTACGGCCTGGGGCGTCCCCGGAGCACACCCAGCTTTCAGTTAGAGCTTTCTCGTCTCCACCTGTCCTGGAGTGGAAAAGCAGACCGTGCCGCCTTCCTGCCGCCGGCCCTGCCGGACTCTGCTCCCCGTCCTGATGTAGGAAGAACGAGCTCTCACCCTTCTCCAGGGCGCTCCTCTGCTTTGCTGCCCTTTGGCTGGAGGCATGTGAAAAGGAATCTTCACTGAAGTCACTGTCGTCCAGGTCCTCGGCTTGAGCTCCGTCCGGGCTGTCGGAGCAGGCCTGGGAGGGAGGCGCGTCGTCCTGGAGCTGACTCGCTGGGGCCCGGTACTGGCATAAGAACCTTTCCAGTGGCTGGTACTTTAACTTCTGCTGGAGGAGAGGAGGCTGCTGGAACTGTTGGTGATAGAAACGCAAATGCTCCTCCCTTTCCCTCTGCTGCGGAGGGATGCCTGTCCAAGCATCGGCGGCAGGCCTGGCAGGTGCGCCTGCCTCGCTGCCCCGGCTGCCCGCGGCTGAGCGGTGGCTGCTGCCAGAGGAGAGCTCAGCGCGCGACACAGGCTGCTTCTGTACCGGCTGCACCGTCTGCACCTTCCTGCCCTTGCTGGGCAGCTTACCACGGGCCGGGCCTTCTGCCGGGCCTAGGGCCCTGCGTGCCCACGCAAGCGCAGTCCTGTTGGCCACATGGCTTCTCTCGGAGCACAGCGGTGCCCATTCTTCTGCCCCTCTTTTGGTCAGAAGTCCAGAGTGCACGGTGTCTTTGACAGGGCTAGTCTGCACGGCCCACTCTTGAGGAGGACTCCTTCCGGAGCTGCCCTTCCTACCAGGGACTTGCGGCGTGGAAGCACAAGGAACGTTGGGTGGGTGGCTGGCCAGAGGGTGGGCCTTCCCCCGCGTGGAGCCCGGTGTCCCTGCGAATGCCCGCTGAAACCCCAGCTTGACTTTTTTTGGAGAACACTTGTCCCCGGGCAGGGCTACAGGACAGCTCTGGACCCTCTTTGGAGAGGTATTTCCAGACACCCGATTTCGGCTGGAAGCTGAAGTGCAGCACTTAATGCCTTTCTTTAGCTCTTTGACCCTGTAAATAACCACTGAATGTTAAATGTGTACTCTTGTATGTTCTGTAAGTCCTGTTCTATAGCTTTCAGGGAAACAGAAACCAGCAAAAACACTGTAAGGACTGGGAGTTTATGAGGGAGAAAACAAGAGGGACAGAGCATATTCTATTTCAGCATGAACTATCCCTCTGTACTTGAACTAAAAAAACCAGTAACTTCTCTGAGGAGGTAAGCAGACAGCCAACATTCACGATTAGAAGTTCTGGAAATGGCCACAGCTCTGTACGAGGGACAGACGGGAAATGAATCTCACAACGGCACCATGTTCGTGTGAGGTCATCCACGCTTCCTGAGGAAGGCCCGACTCGGGAGTTCATTTCTGCCCTCACCTGCAATTCCACAAAGGCCTCTTTCCTACAAACCACCCGTCAGGCTCCTCTGGGAAAATGAGCTCCCTGAAACCTGCCGGGTACTGCAGGAAGTGAAACCTCCAGAAGCAAGCAGGACTGTGCAAGTTCTACTAAGGGAGAAACGACCTGCTCATTCCTAGGACTGCTCCACTCAGCACAGCTGACACCGTGCCCCACGTAATGCTCGGAGGGGCCACGCCGTGCACTGCCGGGGTTCAGCAGCAGCCCTGGTCTCTACTCACTAGGTCCCAGCAGTGCCTCTCCCCATCCAGGCACTATCTCAGCAACTGTAAGAGACACACGTGGACACAACATGGGGATGAGAGGACGTCTGCAGATGCCGAAGTCACCCCAGAAGGAGGCCTGACCGGGCAGTCAAGAGGTCTCTTTCACTCTTGCAAAAACAAGACTGACAAAAAGCAAGACTCCTCAAAGCACCATCTGCTCCAAGAAGAGGGTTGTGGAGTTCAACACTGGATGCATGTGGGTGTGAGACATGGGTGCACACACACACACAGACACCCCTCTGCCATCTACGAGCCAACTTACCGGTCAGCGTAGCGCAAGGTATTCAAAGTGTGCTCCGTGGCCACGTGGCTCGGTGAGATGTTAGCGATCATGCAAGTTTTGGCATTGCCAATGAAAGAGTCCTTCAGAACCTGTCCAAACCGGAAGGCAGGTCAACAAATGAAGTCCACTCACAAAGGGCATACTGGTTGCTTTTTGTTTTTTGAGACAGGATCTTGCTACGTAGTTCAGGCTGGCCTTGAGCTCACTATGTAGCCCAGGCTGCCCTCCAACTTGTGGAGATCCTCCTGCCTCAGCCTTCTGAGTACTGTGATTATAGGTATGTGCCACTACGCCCAGCCTTGACTACCTATTATGAGTAGAACACTGGGCCATAATAGGGACAGCGCACTCTGTACATAAAAAGACAATTCAAAACACAAATGACCAATAAACAGAGAAAGGTACTCACCTCACTAATCAAAGAACTGCAAACAAACCATCACAAAAGTAGTATTTGTTTTTATCCATAAGATTAACAAGACTGAAGTCACTCTGTCCAAGTAAAGGCCCAGAGAAGTGAGCACTCTACTACACCGCTGTATCACACCCCGCGGCCTGGGCTGAGCCTTCAGAGGGCAGCCTGATTGTACCCAACAACAGGGACAGGGCACGGGCATTACCGGTTTGGCAGTCACCCTTCTAGGGCTTTCTCCTTTTTCTTTTTGTAAATTTTGTTACTGGGGATGGAACCCAGGGCTTTCACACTGGCCAAATCCCCAGCCCTGGTTTTTTGAGGCAGTCTCACTGTGTAGTTCAGGCTGGCCTTGACCTTGCAATGATCCTCCTGCCTCAGCTCTCAGGTACTGGGATTCTAGGTGTTCGCCACCACACCCGGCTTTGACTTTATCCCAAGGAGATAACTGCTCATTTGATTAAAAGGCAAAAGGATGTACCAGATGTTATTCATAACAATAAGTTTTAGAAGCAATCTAGGAGTCTATAAATCAAACAAACTAGTGATAAATTGAACACAATATAACCACTAAAATGAGTATGTACATCTGTAGGTGGGAACACATTTAAAACATATCTCTGAGTGCTAAGGCACGTGACTCCACGACTGTAAGTGGATCCATGTGCGGGTGTGGGCGGGGAAGTTCACTGAAATGCGGCAGGGTCCCCACTGGGGTGCGGTAGAATTTTAAGGTAACTTTAACCTTTTCTCTACACTTCTATGTATTGCTGGAATAACTGTTCTCTAATTAAATAGGGACACATTTTTCTGGGCATGACTTGTTTTGGAAATAATTAGGTCAGCGTCAGAATCAGAACTAACCAGCCACGTTTCTGGGTCCCTGGCTTGAGCAGATTTAACCCACAGACCACCAGTTCTGACAATTATGGAGCAGCGTTACCGTAGGTTCTACCCCAGTCCTCTGAGATCCCCTCTGGGCCTCCTTCTGCATCACTGTCCCACACTGTACACAGGACACGGTGCTGAAAGGAACCCACAGGACATAATTGTCTTCACAGATGTGTGCACCTACACAGACTTCAGCGGCCACTACAGACGGCTGATTTAATACCTACTGCTGTTTCCCAGACATTTTCAGGACAGACAGAAGGCAGGCGAGGTGTGGTGGTGCACACTTGTGATCCCAGCACTTGCGAGGCTGAGGTGAGAGGATCGCTGCAAGTTCGGGGCCAGTCTAGGGTACGTAGTGAGTTTAAGGTCAGCCTAAACTATATAGCGAGATCCTGTCTCAAAAGACCTAAAAATAGAAAAATAAAAAAATAAAAAGAAGCAGAAGAAATAAAATACCTATATTTCCACCACTCAAAATAATCAGTTAATACTTGCATAATTTTTCTGGGTTTATCCTTCCTTTTTTTTTTGAGACAGGGTCTCACTATGTAGTTCAGGCTACCCTTGAACAGCAGTCCTCCTGCCTCAGTTTCCCCAGTGCTGGGATTATAGGCATGTGCCACCATGCCTGGCTCCTAGCCCCTTTTTAAACACTTTTTTTTTTTTTGGTAAATGGAGAGGGGAAGAGCGGCTGGAGAGTAGGGAATGGGGATTTTTTTGGACACAGGTCTTGGTAAGTTGCCTAGGTGGGATCTGCACTTGTGATCCTCCTATTGTAACCTCCCTCGCTGAGGTTGTAGGCCTGCACCACTGGGCCTTGCTAATACAGTTTTGGGGCTTTTTTGTTTGTTTTTGTTTTTTGTTCTTTTTTTTTTTTGTTTGGGATGGGCTTGCTATGCTGTTCAGGCTGGTCTCAAATTTACAGGCTCAAGGGGTCCTCCTGTCTCAGCCTCCAGAGTAATGGGACTGTGGGGAGGTGCCAGCACACCTGGCAGTAAGGTTTCTTTACCTGGAAATAAACAGGAAGGTGGTGAGCAGAAGAGCAGAGCTGCCGCTACTGAATGAACAAAGGAATGGAAGAAGGAGAATGAATAAAACAGAGCAGCTCAAGGTTCACTCTTCTTTTTTAAGGAGAGGTTTAACTTAGCTCATAAAGGCTCACATTTGATGTTACCTGCGTTAGCTTGCTCTGCCGGAAGGGAGTGTGGGTGTGCTCCTGGTCCAGTGCTCGGATGCATTCCTTCAGCTGCACATGGGAGAATCAAATATCACACATAAAGCAAGTAACAGATAGATGCTACATCCACAGGAACTTGTTTCTCTTAAGTAAACCACACCCAGGAAACTCCCCGAAAGGAAGTCAAAATGCCCTAGATTTTCCTTTCACGAGTAAAACCAAGTAAACTAGGAAACGCCGTCCGGTGCTGCCGAGCTGCAGCCTCCCCCCGTCGAGGCTGTGACACTTGGGTCGCCCTGAACCGCAGAGCCCGAGCACCTGCTTCCTACGCCGGCCTGCTTCCTCCCTTTCTTTTCTTACCAGCATTCCAACTGTGGACACGCTCAAGTAGAGTATCTCAGCTTCTTCCCCTGCTCCTGGCCCTCCCGCACGACATCCACCGGTGCACACGCCAGTGCAGACTCAGGTGTAAACTGCCTCAGCGGGGCAGGAGGAATTCCAGAGTCAGAGACGGCACCGAGAAATCAGCTAAGTTTACGCCTCATTCTCCGAGGTGGGAAGTGTGGCCTAACAGCTAGGGCGTGGCTGCTCAGTGAATGGGCTGGGGCTGGGGCCGGGGGGACCTGGACGCACGGCCTTTAGAGGCCACTGCCCATCAGAAACGCAGGGTGACGGGAGAGACCTGCTATTTCTGAGTCGGGCACCTAGGCTAAAGGCAGTGAATGAACAGCAAGGGAGGGAAGAAAAGGATGCAATGCCTCCGCAGTATCAGTGCGCCGTCCCCAGAACAAGAGGTCAGCCCTGAGGGTGGCGGTGGCTGCGCTGAGCGCAGTCAAAGAGGCCCCTTGCTGCCCCACTTTTATCCAGGAAGGTACAGGGTACAGAATGGCGTAAGGCAGCATTTTCCTTTATTAAAAATCAACCCAACGGCACTAGAAAGACTCTCCCAAAGGGACGAAGAGGTACCCAGCCCCTGCCCCGAGTTACACTTGTCCCTTACACACGCTAATCTAGGTGTAGCTGAATACTGTGAGGGGTCTTGGGTCCTTTTCAGCCCTGCTGAAATCAGAATTACAATGGAAATGGTCAACAAGTGTTACTAAACCCTAAGAAGGAGCGAGGGGAAATATCCAGGAGAGAAACAAAGGGCTCCCTGGTACACCTCCCAAAACACAAGACTTCGGTTGTGTCCTAGAAGGTCTATTTCCAGGCCCCTCTCCATGCTACAGATAAAGCGAAGTCCCCGGAGCTGCAGGACTTCTAAGTAGATCCTTATAGGTTCCTCTCCACCCACCCCTCATTCCAGGACTGAACTAGCGGCCTTCATGCTGAGTTACACCCTCAGGCTTGCTTGCTTTTTTTCTGAGATACGGTCTTACTAAGTCACCAAGCTGCCCCATTTGGGCTTGAGCTTGTAATTTCCTGTCTGAGCTTCTCGCAGTGGCGGTGGGTTGCAGGTGTGTGCGCACGCCCAGCTGCCCCCACGTTTCACAGCTGATTTACGGGCCAGATTCTAAGATATCAGAATCAAAGAATTTTGCTTAGATGGCATAGACCCTGGCCAGTGTATTCAACTCCCCTTACCTGAGAATCCTAATCTAAAAGGTTGGGGAAAGAGAATTTATTGTTAGCTTACAGTAAATGCTAACAACATAGTGATTTCAGGGCTCCTTGGACAAATGGCTGATGGCAAGTGGAATGAATGATAATTATATATTTTATCTAGCTCACTGTACCCAAATTATTACTTTGGCATGTAATGAATATGAACAAATACCAATGAGCTATTCTGCATGGTTCTTTTGGGTAATAAAGTCTTTAAAATCCAGGGCATGTTTTATCCTTACAGCATGTCTCGGTTCAGACTAGCTACGCTGCACAGCAGTATTTTTTACAGGAAACATACAGGACAAAAAACATGTTATACATGAACATGCGGGAGGCAGGCAGCAAGTCACATCTGGAAATGTGGCAAAGCTTACAGGGCAAATAATCCAATTTTTTTTAAAAAAATACAATGATAATAGGGGAAAAAAAATGGAGGAAGTGATATGGAATATTATTTGTACCTTGATTTGAACAATTCAACTATAAAAAGACAGTTAAGTGAACTCAGGAGAAATTATAATATCAGATAAAAGATATGTATGCTAATGGTATTAGCGATATGTTAAAAAAAAGTATCTTTACCTTTGAGATATATAATGGTATGTCGGCAAGCCTGCTGCTCTACAGATTCCACCCCACCCTGCCTACTCTGGATGCATGTCAGGGGCAAAATCTCTCAAGAAAGGTTTTTAGATTTTGAGCAACTTACAGCCAGAAGACTCTGGTTTATTTCTGCACCTTCCATCTTCGTCTGTCTATCTGAATCCCGGGCATCTGCTGCTCTTTCACTGCCAGCCAAGTCAATGAAAGAGATCCTAGAGAAAAGACAGCCGAATTACTTCCTCAAGGCTTTATTTTTACACCAGTAGACATTTTGTGACCTCAGGAAGAAATTCACACTAGACCATCCTTGGGAAAGAAAAGACATTCATGTCGATTTTCCAAAAACATCCTAAATTTCTGATCTGCCTGGTGGCCGGCCACTGTTCACTCACACGCTGCCGTCAGCTCTAACCCTCTGTAAGAACGTATGACTGGGATTAATAAAGCGCTCTCCCCGCGCTCAGTGACCACACGCAGGTCACCTGGGTGACCTCTTAGATGATTCAACAGAAACTTCTGTAGGGCTTTCCAGGAAGAAAGAAGGGAAGAGAGAAAGAAGGGAAGAGAGAAAGAGAGAGAGAGAGGGAAAATAAAGCAGACTCATCAGTCAGAGCCGAGACGGGCTCATCCATCAGCGTGGCGGAGAGTTGCTAAGACAGCACCGGAGAAGCAATGAACATATCCAATCGCCTGTGTTTCTTTCAAGAATGGATTAATCCTCCAACTCCTTTATGGCCTGTACCCTCTCTGAGATGCATTCCCTGCTGTTTCTCTGCTGATACTGTGTTTCGTGTTAGAAGCAATCAATGTCCCTTTTAATAACTTAGGGCTGACCAACAATAGGTCATTACTTCACGGTTAATCAACTGATGGCACTTTATTACAATGATTTATTTCACGGCTAACAACTCTGCTCTGCGTCCGCACAATGCAGACCCCGTGATGGCAAGGTCCTGTTGTTGATCACAAGTATTTCAAAGTCACACTGAGGAAAGCGGACAATGCAGCCCCCGCACACTTCCAGCTCACCTGCCGAAGGTCCTCCTGGCTGGGTCTTTGATCTGAATCTGAATGATGGCGTGGGAGCGGGAGGAATCCGCGTTAACCCCGGTGGCCCCGGTGCTGCGCTCCTTGCTGCCCTTCAGGATCACCTGAAAATAAAGCCCACAGGATGACCTCCCTGAGGGATGAACAAGGCCCGTGGCTCCAAAGAGTTGGCTAAGTAAGCAGTAGAGACCAGATTTATAATTTTGTCAGCACGCTGCCATTTTTCTGTCCAGGTGGAAAACTGCCCAAATACTAAATCACAGAGTAAGTGCCCAACAGCAGTGAAAATATGGAATACTAATCTTTAGGTCCCCCCCCCCCCCCCCGGTACTGGGACTCAAACTCACGACCTTGCGCTTGCCAGGCAGGCAGTGTGCCGCTGAGCTAAATCCCCAGCCCCTGGAATACTAATCTTGTGGGAGAACATTCAATAGCTCAAGGGCTAATTTACTTCTCGATCTCATATACTCTTTTTAGTATGTTTGATGGATTTAGCCTAACTAAAATCCCCAGGATATAACTTGGCTCCAAAGCAAGATTTTGTAATACTCATCGATCTTAGAACTGTATGTGAAGTAGAGGACAGAAACATTCACCACAGAATGACTGATCACATCCACCTGTTCTACCAGGAAACGGGCCTGGAGGAGGCCTGGGCTGCTGTGCAGGAATAGGGAAGTGCTGAGTTCTCCCATTATCCCAAAGCTCACGAATCCCCTTAAGGCAGCTCCTCCCCTACCCCCAAGTGGGGTTAAAGAGTAACTGGGACCCTCTAACCCCAACAGAACAGAAGAGGGATGGTAAAGCCTCAGGACTGGCCTTTAGCCACTGAAAACACTACCAAGAAATGAACATGCTGTCCTGATTTGGGACAGGCAGAGGAGTGTTGACTACCAAAAAAGCAAAAAACTAGCCAGATGTGGTGGAACACGCTGTAACCCCAGCACTCAGGAGGCTTGCTGTGAGTTCAAGGCCAGCCTGGGCTACATAGCTCGACCCTGTCTCAACAACCCCCCAAAACAAACCAAAACTAAAAATCTTTAAGAACGTTATTTGATAGGAGTCTCACAACAGCCTAATGTAGGGATGGCTATTATTTCGGGTTCCTCTGAAGAACAAACTTAAAGGTTGGTTTCCTCACAGTCAAATAGCTGTTGTATGATAGAGCCAAACCCCAGGTCCATTACGTTTGACTCCAAAGCCCACGTGCTTTCTACGACACTGTGGGGCATTTGTGGTAAATTCGTTTATTGTGCAGTGAATGAAGGGCAAGAAGTCCTATCTTATTTTTTTCTCAAATTCTTCAGAATTTAAATTATATTGAACACAGCCACAGCGTCCAAATTAAAGCGTCCAGAAGTTGAAAAAGCCAAGCTTTGACAATAGACCTCAAAATAACAAGTAGGGTCAGGTGCCTTTAAAAAAATTTAACTAAAAAAATAAAAATTTAACTAATTAGGAGCTCTTTGAAGGAGAGCAGGTAACAGAGCCTCTCTGGGACCTTGAATTGAGATACCTGGAAAATAAAAACTTGTGGGGAAAACAGCAGCAGATCTGTGGGAGCTGGCAGGGAAAGGACACAGAAACGAGAGACTGGGGACAGCACAGGCAGCGAGGCAGTCTGGACAGTCAGGACAGTCTGGACAGTCCCAAGCCTGGCGCCCGGGGAGGGGCCTGCGAGACCTCCCACACAATGCGCAGAGGCGGAGGCACCCTTCTCCTGCTCCCCATCCCAACACACCTCTGAGTGAGCACTGCTTTTTTCTGTCCTCTACTTTGTTTATATATATACATTACAATAATATATACAAACCAACCAACCAATCAAACTTATTTATTTAACAACCTAATTTAAACACAGACAAAGAAAGCCTGATATGAACCTGTAGCCCCAGCTCTAAAGGACTGCTTGAACCCTGGAGTTCAGAACAAACTTGGGTAACACAGTGAGATTCCTGTCTCAAAAAGGAAAACATAATGGGCAAAGGATTTGAACATTCATTTCTTTTTTTGTTTGTTTTTCTTCTGGTACCAGGAATCGAACTCACGACCTTGTGCTTGCCAGGCAGGTGTTTTGCTGCTGAGCTAAATCCCCAGCCCCGAACATTCATTTATTAAAAAAAAGTTATAATAACAGCCAATAAGCACATGAAAAATACTCAATATTTCTAGCTACTAAAAAATGAAATCATCATACTCTGGTTTCTCTTCAGATCATACAACGCCTTTTTTAAAAAAAATGAAATAAAAATAAACACAAGGAGAAATCGGTTCACACTCAGTAGGATGGCATATATCCATCAGTATAAGGTGAGGCAAAATTGGACCGCCTGCACATTGCTGATAAGAAACGTAGAGTGGTACCAGTACTATGAGAATCACAATGCAAGTTCCTAAAAAATTAAAAACAGAATCACCAACATGATCTAGTGATTCTCTCTCTCAGTATACACCCAAAAGACAAACACTCATCTGTATACCTGTTATAGCAGCTAAAAGGAGAAGCAACTCAAATGTCTACTGATGGATGAATGGATAAAAAACAGGTGGTATATGAATATGATGGAATATTATTTAGCCTTTAAAAAGAAGGAAATTTTGACACATGCTACAACAGAGATAAAGGTTTAAGACATTAGGCTGAGTGAAACAAGCCAGCCACACGAAGACAAATGCTATGATTTTACTTAAATAGGTTCTGGGAGAAGTAAGATTCACAGACAGAAGTAAAACGGTGGTCACCAGGGTTTGGAGAGGAGTGGAATTATTATTTAATGACTATAGAGTTATAGTTCAGAAAGATGGGAAAAATTCTGGAGATGGATAGTGCTCATGATTGTACAACAGTGTGAATGTACTTAATACTACAGACCTGTACACTTAAAAATGGTTAAAGAGCCAGGTGTGGTGGCACACGTCTATAATCCCGGTACTTGAGAAGCTAAGGCAGGAGGATCGTTGTGAATTCCAGGCTAGCCTGAACTACATAGTGAGACCCTGTCTCCAACAAAACAAACAAACAAACAAAACAACCAGGGGGGGTGGTACACACCTGTAATCCCAGCACTTGGGAGGCTGAGGCAGGAGGATGATTATGAGTTCGAGACCAGCCTGGGCTACAAAGTGAGCTTAAGGCCAGCCTGAACTGCATAGTAAGACCCTGTCTCAAAAAGCCAAAAAAAAAAAAAAGTTAAAACAAACAAACAACTAAACAAACAAAAAGTTAAAGAGCTAAACTTTATGTGCATTTTAACTAGATAAAAGTTTTAATTAAAAATATATATAGCTAGATTTGGAAACAGAATATATGCCAGTCAACAGATGAGTGGATAAAAAAATGTATTTATACACAGCAGAGTACTACTCTGCGATAAAGAAAGATAAATGAAGTATTCATAGGCAAATGGATGGAACTTGAGAACATAACGTTAAGTGAAGTAAGTTAGACACACAAGCTTAAATATTATATGGTTTCTCTTATACGAGAAACTCAAAAACCAGATATATCACAATAGATGATAGGAAAGTAGGGAGAAGTTCAAATAGCTCCCCAAATATCCAGTATGTTGTTTCAAAAGTGTTTTAAGATAAATGCTAATTTGTTTCTTTTATACTAGCAGTTATTTTTTGTTCACTGAAAAGAAAGTATTGTCCTTTGTTTCCCTGTAAGAGAGTCTTTTTTATGACTTGTAGACTGAGTAACATTTTGGCCATTCTTTTTTTTTTTTTGGTACTGGGAATCAAACTCAGGACCTTGTGCTTGCCAGGCAGGCGCTGTGCTGCTGAGCTATATCCCTGACATCCCTTGGCCATTCTTTTAAGATCATAATATACATTATACTAACCATTATTATTCTCTAATTATTTTGTTATGAAATTTTGTTTTGTTTTCATAGAATAAAGCAGTATTTTGATATTTTTATTAATATCTACCTGCATTACATTAAAATTTTAAAAGATTTAAAACATATACAGACAGTAAAAAATAAAAATAAAAATTTTTACTAATTAAAAATTAAGTTTTCCCATGGTCTAAGCAACAGTTATGTTTCTAAATATTGTATATGAAATTTTAAATCAAATTTCAGCTGGATGTGGTGGTTCATGCCTATAATCCCAGCTCTCGGGAGGCTGAGGCAGGAGTATTACTGCAAGTTCAAGGCCAGCCTGGGCTACATAGTGAGTGCAAAGCCAGCCTGAAGTACACGGCAAGACCCTGTCTCAAAAACAAACAAACCAAAAACATACAAAAAACAAAATTTCAGAACCACATTTAAATGCACTCATTTTGTAAATCGCTTGCTAAAAATTTAAAGAGATGACATGATGATTCTTTTGTAAAAAGAAGAACCTACTAGAGTTGGGATGTACCTTGGCCGCAGAGCACTTGCCTAGTATGAACAAGATCTGGTTTCAATCCCTAACACTACAGAAAATACAGCGAGAGAGCTAGAGTGAGAACGGAGAGAGAAAGGGGCAAGGGCTGGGAAGAGAGCCAGTTGCTAATTTATAAAGCTTGATTACCACCTGCATGGGTTGCGTGACAGTAAGAAATCTGGAGAGTTAGAGTGTAATTCTTTATGTTGGATGTGGCAAGTGTTGGGAAAGCAAACAAGCAAACAAATGAAAACCCGGCCGAAGCCTGGCTGCTCGGCCTCTCCCTGCCCGTTTCCATGCTTAAGGAGGCTGGGCTGCAATAACAAAAGATCATTTTAGAATTGCATTATTCCTTTTTCACACATTTCTTCTTTTCTCCTTACTGGCAAAGTAAGACCTACCAGAGTTAATGCACTCTTGGTACAATTCCTTCCAGAGTTCTAGGTACTTCACAAACCCAGTGAAGACAGGAAAGGTCATAACTCCGACCTCTGCATCTGTATGGGACATGCTTGACAAGGAAGGTAACACACAGAAGCTAAGCGACTTATCCAGGGTCACATTGCAAGAAAAAGGCCAGGCAGGAAGAGAAAGAAGCCAGATATCCTCTTCCACATGTGAAGAATTATTTGACTTCTGCCGAGTCCTTGTGTGAGCTCAGAGAGGTCTCAAGACCACGCCTGGCAAGGTCTCCCTACGTGGCACAGGCTGGTCTTTAACTCACTAT